TACAAAGAGGTTAGCCACACACACCCCTAATCTGGATAGTGGTTGTATATCATCTACATCAACAATAAAGGCCATAGCAATGTTTAATAATTATAAGGTTTACATTTCAGAAAAAGCATGATCTGACTTCAATGAGAACTGGATAATTTTCAAGCACTTCAACTAATTCTCATTTACAGTAGTCTGAGTCAATTAGACATAAAATTGGTCAACTACTATGCCACAGTTTAATCTCAAGCTCCATAAACGCGCTAAGGTGATGAAAGGCCAACAAACTTGGGATCAGAACAGGTGAATCCTTGTTCCAAATCCTTGATAAAAAAAAAGGGGGCTCCGCTTAGTTCCTCCAAGTCTGCTTGTAAGCATTGATCAACTTCTTAAACACAAACCCATACACCATACAAGCATATATCTTAGTATATTCACATATCTATATGTCAGTTTGCTGGTTGAAATACATTCACTGTAAAATTGGGTGCCTAATCTGCATGGTGCCAAGTTTGCCATACCAAGCATACCATGATGGCCCGTCCAAGTACCTGTACTAAGTCATCTGTCACGCCAAGGGCATATTGAGCAGCCTTGGCAGTATGATAGGCATCATAGACTTGTACCAGACAACACCAGGCTGTCACCCTAACATGCCAAGTGGTTCATAACAGTCTGCCCAAGGACCACCATGGTATCAGCAGACAAAACACTGACCCTTAATAACGTGCACAAGGGAATGAATGCACTGCAGTGAAATGCCAAAAGGATACTATGAATTTGACAATACAATGGTTTGCCTTGACTTATGATCCATGCGTTTAATACCTCAAATTTATTCAATTGTGATTTAATATGCTTCATCCAAGATCTTAAAAAGATGGATTCCCAAGTCATTTCCTAAATATCTTTTGCTACACTAGGCAATTTGGCACCAACATTTGGCGAAAAGCTTGTGACTGTTTGGAGAGATCGTCATAAATTATAATGAAAGCTTAGAAGGTCCTGGACATAAGATAGAACCGAAGAAGTAGGGAGGTCGGAGGCCATCCCATCATATTACCACTGCCTCTCTATTTCAGGTTTGATTTCTTTTTTTCCTTTTGTAATTATATAGCTATAACAGCACGGAACATCAACCCAAATACCCATGACATACTTGTAGACTGAATGTTCTTATCCCCAATCCAGTAGACTTTATTCTTCCATGATCAATTACAACCAAGAATATTTGGTAAGCTCCTCTTTAATATTTTCATAAATTGCATATCAGTAGTCGGAGGAAGAAGTAGGTCTGATTGGTCTCTTTCTTACTCATCCATGATTCAGCTGATACATAGAAGAAAAGATTTCATGCACCAGGCTGCCCATAGATCCCATAGATTCCATACTCATCCCAAAACCAACAGTTTGGTTCAAGACCTCTTGATCATCTCATAGTGGCACGCACCAGGCTGCCCCTTTTAAAAATTTGGTTAAAAACCTAATATTTGCAATAATTTTTCCTTTGTTTTAAGAGCATTGACATATATCAAATCGATATTCATAAAGCATCATCATGAATTAGTGAAAGGAAAAGTAACAAATCAAAATTGGATCATCCACTTAGTTATTGCTCAAAAATATATCTCATAAATCACAATAGCCTTAACTTAATTTTACAAGTCAAAATTAAATTGAACAATGGTTATTTAAGATATTCACAATATGAAAAGTAAAAAAAAAACTACATATAACTTTAGAACAAAAATTGAGCTGAAACGAAGTGCTGATAGATTCTGGCCAACACTTTAGAATATGAAAGAGAAAAGTAACAAATTTTCAAAATGCCACTAGAAGCTTTTTTTTTATTCATACTAGAAGCTTAAAAGTTACCTTTTACAATTTGAATAGGATTTTCCTTTGGGAAGATTGGAAAGTTCTAAATCTCTATATTTACTAGTCAAGGACATATGTTGATCTTTCTTCGCAATGCTGCTAGCACACTGGAAATGTGTTTGCCTGGAAGAAAGCCTAGCTGACTGTGAAGACGTTGCAATTTGATGTTGTCTCTCATCCTTTTGTAATTCATTTTTTTCTGAACCTCTGCTCTTGCCTCGGCTTATAACTTTCAAGTCCTCATTAGATGCAGCATCTGCCTGAGGAAAGAATATGGAAAAGCCTACACCAGCAAACTGATGAATGAATGTAAATTGAGAAGATCATACATTTACCTTCCCTTGTAACTTCTCCAGAAATTTAGATGTAAACGAAGATTGTGGATGAGATTTGGGTGCTGTAGAATTTTCACTGGAATCTTTTACTGTACCTGATGGTGCACGAATGATAAGCAAGTCTAGATGCAACCAAATAGTGATACATTCACCATAATAGTAAATAAGAGAGTTTAACACAAAAAAAAGCCCAAAGAATTGTTCCAGTACACTTCTTTATTGAATCCACTTCTTCATTGAATGGTCTATATTCTGGTTATGTAGAAAAGATTCTTGAGTGCTACCTGATGATTCTATGTTTTCTGACTGAAGGACCTTACTGCATCGTCCAGAACCCTGTAAAAGAGATTACAGTAGAAGAGAAAACAAAATTGAGTTTGTCAATCATCAGGAAGTAACTATATGGAATAATTCTGTAACCAAAAGTTGGTCCTTCTAGGTGATGTCTGATAGTGTTGCCAACCGAAACCCTTTCTAGTTTATATCCTACTCACTGCAGCTTGCTATTGTAGCTTATGTATATCTCTATTTTGTTTCCCTACTACAAACTGTTCTTTTGCAATGACCTCCATCCATCATTTTATCGATCTATCACCTAACTCTTGAGTGAACTTCTGTAGTTCGCCAGTTCATATCAGTTTTATCGTTATTTAAAGAATAAAGGAACAATGCGTCCAAAAAGAATCAGTTCCAGCTGCCCTAATCTTCATCTTTTCTCGATTGAATCCAATCAAGATTTTCAAGCGCAAATTTATCCCTCCACTTCATGCCATTACCATTTGGGTTCACTTTTTTCTTTACCCACTTCCCCGTTCCTCTAGTTTTTTTCTTCCTTGTTTAGGTTTTCCAATGAGAATTTCTTCCTTCGAAAGAAGTAATATCCGAAACCCTATCTTCTAAGGAACTACCTAGCCAGAACCCTATCTTTCAATCACCTCCCTTTCTGATTATCACACACGAAATCTCTCAAACCCACCCTTCCCTGCATCTACGCACACATCTGTCGACGGAGCCGATTGCGTACCTTGGGAACACGGACAAGCTTCCTCCGATCGAGTTCCGCCTGCATCTGGCGGAGGCTTGCCCTCAACTTGGCACCGCTATCGTTTAGCCGGCTCCCGATGCCCAACGAGAGTTGTTTCACCACTCGTTGAATCCGCTCCTGCAACTCATGATCAGAGAACTGGACGAGCTCCGATGCATCCGCCGGCCCCGCCTCTCCGTGGCCGGACGCTGCGGCGACCACCTCGACCTCCGGCGGCGGGCCGTCGTCCCTCCCGGCTAGCATCTCCTTCCAATCAATCTGTAGACGCTCCTTCGCCATCTCCGGCCAGATGGGCAGAGAAAGAGACGGACAGAGAGATTAGCAGTGGCAGGGGTCGTTGTCCTCGTAGTGGAATGCCATAACACGGGAAACAAGCCAAGACTCGAAAGAGGGA